AGTTTTTAGGAATGGATAATTCACACAATGCTTGGATAAACAAAAATAATTTATTGTGATATTTATTTTTGTATTAAAGACATATTTTATATACCATTTTTTATTTCAACACACTAAAAAACAGTGTGACCGAGTAATCTAAAGTATTCGATCAAAGCTTGAATTCATCCTCGGTCAATATTTTTTAATTTTAAAACTTAACTGCTTGTTAAAACTTACAGATTGGAGGTCATTTAGTCATTATTTAACAGTTTAGAGGTTATGATGTCTGGAGGTTATTAAAGGTAGTAAAAAATTGCAGTTGTGTTTGAAAGCTGTTTAACTTGTTTGAGTTTTAATGTTTACACTGGTGGGGGATGGACTATAAAAGATCATTACATTCAAATATAATAAAAATAATATGGATAGTGATAGTGATTCTACAGATTCAAATATTGAAATTATTCCTGTGGAACATTTAGAAAACTTATCGAATGGTTCAGAAGATAATTTGTCAGATTTTGATAACGAAAACGAAATCCTGATATTGGACCCAACTTATTTAGACTTTAAAGTAAACCAAGTTAATGTTGTGAACAACATAAAATGGATAAACTTTCAATGTCGTCAGCCTTTATGTGTTACTCAAAATTACTACAGTGTAAGTGATGAAAAACTATGTAATAGTTGTTTCTATGAAACTTTTAGAAGAATTACTGAAAATCTTAACCCCACACATCATTCTGAACATTTTTCAGGAACTATGAATAGTATAAAAGATTATATTTATGAATGTTCAAGCTGTAAAAGGCAACTTTTTACTTATTGTTTAGTAATATATTGTACAACTTGCAATTATTAAATAAATGTTTAATAATATTTGTTGTTTTAATCCTCTAACCTCTTTTAATAAACTCTATAGACTTGTTTGATTTCAAAAAAAATTATTAATCTTGTATAATAATATTGTGCTTTATAAGTGTAATAATAAAAAAATAAACTTTTTAACTAGACCGCACTTAGGTATTCTGACTGGTCTTTGGAAAGTACGAAAGCATCACCATATCATGGGGCTGTCAGAATCCGCACTCTACAGAGGGTGCAAACAAGAAGATGAGACCATCAAGCATATACTTTATGAGTGCCTGACGCTCTCATTTATTAAAAAATTTCTGTTTAGTGAGTGTCGGCTAACACCGACCGATATAAGAGAAGCACCTCTTGATTACAATTACATAAAATCTGGTAGGTTAGGAGGATGCGCAATGGACCTAATAAGGCCTAAGTGCTGTGGGGGTAACCCACCCACCACATGCTACAAATACCGCACACTTGTTTTAATATCAAAAAATGTGGAATCAAACCTTAAACATTTTATGCCGCTGTATAATAATAAAAATTTCAAGGTAAAATGAAATCGGGTCTTATAAAATATTGTTTTTATATCACCCATATAATAAAAATAATTAAACTAAAGAGAAGCACCTCTTGGTGATGTCAACTACATAAAATCTGGTAGGCTAGGGGATGCACAATGGGGCCTAATGAGGCCTAAGTGCTGTGGGGGTAACCCACCCTCCACACGCTACAAATACGGATATCTAAAAAAATGTGGGTTCAAACCTTATACATTTTATGCCGCAGTACAATAATAAAAAATATTGTTTTTTATGTCACCCGTATAATAATAAAAATAATTAAACTTTATATCGCTTAACTTGTAAAATATTGCTTTTTTATGACTCGGTATATTAATAAAAAAATAACAATTATTTTAATATTAAAAGTTTTTGTAGTAAATAAAAAATTAAATAAAATGTAAAGTAATATTTAATGTTAATGTCATATAATTGAGTATAAACAAATATAGTACCACTATCATTAAAACTCTAGATTAGAAAAAAAAATTAAAAAATAATTTTTGTGATCCATATTTTTACTTTTTCTACATATTGATTAATAATCACAAGTCACCAGATAATTTAATTTTTTTTGCTTTGTTTAAAGCGGTTTTTAACCGGTTTAATCTTTTAGCAACCTGCACTGATTTTGATTGATAAAATTTAAGTTTTTTTTCTAAATCAAGTACTAATTTATTTTCAACTTTGGTAACAAAAGAATTGTTAAAATGTAGAAAAGTAGTTAGCAAATTTTCGTAATTTTGTAGAGTTTTATCTTCATCTACAGTTGGTAAAGGTGTTAGGCATATAACATCGTCGCTTACCTCCTGCGATTTTAAACCATCCCTGGAATGGCTGACCGGGTCGGTGTGATGATCCATGGGTTCATTTATGTTAATTTTTTGATCACGGACATCGTCTGCTTGATTTATTTCTGAGTTATCAAAGTAACCCTCAGATTGATTTTGATTATCAGGACTTTTTGAGTGACACGCACCTTCTTCGACGTTATTTGTTTCATTTAAAAAATCACTAGCACACACACTAACGAAATTACCATCTGCCATTTTTCTTAAATTACTAATAATGTTTATTTTCGTTTGCATTTTTAAAATGCAAGTGACATCTGCTGATATGCACATCCATTTATATCAAAAAGCTAAAGGCCATCTTCTTACTTTCCCATAAATAAATTTTACATAAATACAGACATAATTTCAATTAAAATTATTCGTTGCAGTTTGAATCATGTCTCAACATACCAAACTCTCCAATCAGTCTCAGGTAAATATAAAGTTTTTATACTATTTTTCGTAAATAAATGACAATGAATGAATTTTTTGGTACATTTCTAAATTTGTGTTTTATCAACTAATTATTTAAAAGAACCCCATGCAGTGGCAACTCTCACACTAGGTCTAGCCCCGGTATAAACTAAAATTATTCTAGCGAAATCTTAAAATATTGGCTAAAATTATTTTAACACATTATTTTCTGTCAATATTAAAACATTTTTTCTAATTTCTTTACAGGACGCTTCTAGCATGACAAATTTTAGGGGATATCTTCCTGCGGGAATAACAACGCTGTTGCCCGGTGAGCTAGAGGTATGTATAGTTTTTATACTATTTTTTGCGAATAAATGGCAATGCATGATTTTCTAAATTTTGTTATTTAACGTTGCCTGCAAAAATATTTATAATAATTATTTTAAAGAAAAAATTGCATAGTTTTACGAGCTGAACCACGAAACACCCTATACACTTAAAATTGATAATAATAGAAATTTTTAATACAGTATGTTTATAATTTCCTAAATATTTTAGCTGTATTTCCTTTTTAAAGTAAATTATTTCAACTAAAAAAATTAATTGGTTCTAGTTTAATAATAAAATATTTTTCTAATTTGTTTACAGGACGCATCATGGGACAACTATAATTCGCCTTCCTACATACCTGATGTAGAAAGTAAAAACATTATTCGAACACCCCCCGCGGGAATGTCCAAGTCAGAAAAAAAAATTTTTAAATTAAAAGAACGTCTGAGGCATTCAGAATTAGCGAAAGTTGTGGTAAAATATTTAATTTTATTTAAAATAGTATTTTTAAATTTTTTAAATCTGTTTACAGGGTGTTTCTTGCGAAATTAAGGGAGAACTTCCTGCGGGGTGGATACCATTGTCGCCAGGCGAGCTAGAAGTATGTATATTTTTTATACTATTTTTTGTGAATAAATAACTTTACTAAATTTTGTTATTTAACGTTGTCTGCAAAAATACTCATATCTACAATAGAATAACTTTAAATTTTATTTTGTTCTAATTATTTTAAAGGAACACGAGTGTGGTAGCTCATGGTCTAGATTACGCGGTATTGCTGGAACACAAAACACCCTATACACTTAAAATTGACAATAATAGCCGTTTTCTAATACAATGTGTTTCAAATTTCTTAAATATTTTAGCTGTATTTCCTTTTTAAAGTAAATAAGTTATTTCAAACAAAAAACTGAATGGTTCTGGTTTAATAATAAAATATTTTTCTAATTTGTTTACAGGACACTTCATGGGATAAGTACAACTGGGCGACTTATGTGCCTCACATGAAATTTATTTTAGAAAAAATAAAATCAACAAAAATTTAACACGTATTTTTCTTTAAGCCTACCTTTAAGTAATCCAGTAGTAAACAATCAAAATATCACAACACTTATCACATCACATGTTTTTTAATAAATAAAAACAACCTTTCACGAGCGAGGTCTGAATGTGGTTAACCATATTCGTCTGGGTCAACTGTCTGTGACCAGTGTAATGACCTAGTTTGGGTTTCTTTATAATCTCGTTCTTAATAGCGCTGTGTTCGAAATCTGAATATAAATTTCATTATCAGTGGCGTTGCTATTAAAAATTAGAAATAAAAATGTTTTAAATTAGAGTTATTTGAAAAAATTTATAAATATTCTTAATTAAATTATTCTGCTACTACTATTTAAAAATAAATAAAGGTGGTTATTTAACAGGCATTAGATCTTATATAAATTTTTATTCAAAGATGGGGTGCTATGGAAAATAAGTATGACAATATGACTGATTTGAGTTATAAGCATGCAATGGTTAAGAAAATTGATTTAAATAATTACACTCATAAAAATTGTATTAAATTATAACAATTAAATTAGATTATTTATAAATATTTGCATTTTTTCTACCCTTCCTATAAATAAACTTGTTCTGGCTTATTTGTGTTTTTCCTAATGTCTAGACAGGTGTCTTAAGGTTATACCAAGGCATTGTCTCTTTATATTTTTTAAACCAGGAGGTCGTCAAACTAGTTTCTGAATATGAAGGCTATGAAAGGTTAATAGCATGTCTGCCCATGACTGGTTTCCTCCAAAGCCCCCCTTTCATCATATAAAAACCAGCTCATCATTGCCACATACATACTTTCTCACTAAAACTGGTTCATTAAAACCGGTTCATCATTGCCACATACAATTTCCCCCTACTGTGACTTTTCGTTTTTCCCTATAATGAAAATGATTCTGAAGGGATAACGACATCAGCAGTTGCAGAGGAGGAGGAGGAGGAGGAGAGGGGATTGTTTAAGTAAGTTACGTACAATCCAGTAGCGGTGAGTTGTACGCTCGAGTCAAAGCATTTTCTAACGACTTCCACCCAAGTCGGATTTTTCATTTGTTTTTTGATGGGTTCCATTCTTTCTAGCAGAGTATCGCAAGCTCTTATTACAGCCTGAAATAAAATAATATAAATATCACGTATCAAGAAAATTGCGTCATTTGATAATGTTAACATCATTATTGCCAAATGTCAACATCATTATTGTCAACTATCAGTGTCAAAGTAATTATAATCCACTGAAATATATATTAAACTGGAAGCCCAAAGCCGATCAACAAAAACGAGCCACATAGCGAGGTGATATTTGACTGACTTGCGCCAACAGGGGCGTATCCAAAAAGGTAACACCAAAATTAAATTTAACACTTATTTCATTCAACTACAACTCCTTAATTTAAGAAAATCACTTAAAAACGATCTTTGATTAATACGCAGCAAAAACAAAAGTTACAATAATATTAAAAAATTAAAATAAAACAGTATTAATAAAAAATAATATAACTTATCGTAGTACGCCCGTGGAAAACGTGACGTGGTGTCTAAATTATTATGCGCACCGACCGTTTTTTTCACCCATATTGGCTTAGTAGTTAGGAGTAGGGCTTATGACATATAGCCATCCAATTTAATATGAAGGTCGGTGTTATAACCTGTCCAAGTAACTGTCACCTGTCAAAGTAATTGTCATCTGTCAAAGTATTTGTCAGCTGTCAAAGTAATTGTCACCTATTGTTTAGTCATGACATTTATAAAAATATTCGATATATTAATTATAATCTATTAAATTATAAATTATACAAGAAAACAAAACAGGCCGATTCTAGTCCACTCAGTTGAAATATCTAGTTCAGTGTATAATTAATTTGCAAAACCGTGTTATTTTATTTATATGCTATTAAATTTTGTATTATAATAAGAGTTTATATGTTAATATTTTGTAAAATAAAATGCTTTTTTTAACCAACTTTCGTCTTTTAAACATCTTCGAACTACAATAAATCTGCATTAAAATTAGTCCACATTTTTATTACCAAAATATGTATTGGACCTTCGCGCAAAAGTGATAAAAGATAGAAAATTAATAGTCTAGTCAATCTATAGTAAAAAAAAAATACCGACAAAACTGAAGAACTTGATATAATAGAAATAGAACAAGAAAAAATTGTTAAGCAAATAGTACACTTTGTTAATTAATATGAAAAACAGAAGCTTATATTGTTGTTAAAGCCGAACAAAAAACGAAACTATCGAAACAAGCGAACGAAAACCATCTCAAAGCTATGAAAATATGTATGGCAGACCACGTTTATTTTACGAGTCAATATTTTGAACAAATCACGAAGAATTTAGGGAATACCTCAAATATTGCCCAAAAGCAGAATCAGAGATACAAGCAGTTAAAAATAATGAAGAAATGAATCATCAGTCATTTAGAATCAAAAAACAAATGATAAATATAGAACAATTGAAACGCATTGTTCAACAAATACAACTAGAATTAACTGAATGTAAAACCAAATACAAATACCAAGACTGCGTGCATTGTTTGCAGTTTAAAAACTTATTCTTATCTGATAGAAACCAATTCATCAGAGACAGGCAACTATGTTACAACTGTATGGTACATGACTCCAAGGAAAAGTGTCTTAGTGCATTACGATGTTGCACCTGTGGTATATTCCATCACCAACACCACAGTAGAATTGCAGTCACATGAAAAGATCTCTAAAGAAACTGTGTTAAAATTACTAATGCTCTAGGAGACAAAAATTCAAGAAACAACTTGGAAGAAATTGCATCAGCATACATATATGTCTAATAGTAATGACTATACCACTCATTGAAATATGAACCAATGAAAACGCTCGATTTTCCATAGTTATCATGTATTACAACGGTTATTTACTTATTATGACGCAGATCGAATATTCGAACCCTTGTATAATCGAATATACAAGAGTTCGAATATTCACTTATGTCAAAACTCGAGGGATAGGTAACTGTGATCTCCATTTCAAAATTTGACAGTTGTCAATTTTGATCATGGCTCGGTTTAGCAATATTTCTACGGAATTAATTGATAAAATTATTGAAAATAGTAAACCAACCAACACGGTAAAAACCGAATCATTCGTTTCGCGACAATTTGAAAAGTTTTGTGATGACCGCAGTTATCAGTTAACTGAAAATACTTCTAATGAAGAACTTTGCAACATTCTTAAAGATTGGGCAATCAACATGAGAAAAGCCGACGGCACCGACTACAAGGAAGGTGTAGTGAAAACTATTTGGAATCTTACTGCCAAAAGAGTGCAGCAGAAATACTTCAAAGAGTTTAATCGCACCATCGATCCATTTAAAGATATTGTTTTTCGCACTGCGGTACTCGCGAAAAACGCCAAACGCAAACAACTTCAAGCTATTCCGTCAAAAAGAAAGAGTAGCTCTATTGCATTAAATATTGAAGATATTGAGAAAATTCTAAATGCATTAGATGAAAATACACCCTCCGGACTCCAGCGTACATTTTATCATATTGCAGCCATAGAACTAGCCTGGCGTGGTGGTGAGGCTGTGTGAGCTCTTTTAGACTATTTTGTGGAAGAAACAGACAACTACGGCAAGAAAACAGGACGTATTGAATATAATACTGTTTTTTCCAAAACTGCCCAAGGAGGAAATCAACGAACTACTGATAGTAAATGGTTAACTCCAAATACACAAAACCCCACTCATTGTCATGTTAGATTGTACAATAAAATGATGAGCAAACGGACCAAAAATATAAAAACCAGACGTCTATTTCTTACTGTAAATAAAGACTGGGACAAATATCCGACTAGTTGCTGGTTTAAAAATTGTCCACTTGGAGTAAACGAAATTAATAAATGGACAAAACTGTCTGCAGAAGCTATAGGAATCGATACAAAAAAGGTAAAAATAACCAATCATTCTAACAGATCGACCGCAATAAGTGGATTATCAAAAGCAGGCACTAGTGTCCAAGAAATTATTAAAATTACGGGTCATACTTCAGGGCATTCAATACAACCATACCTGCAGTTAAATGAGGACCATCATAAGAACATTATATCAAATTTAAGAAATGAGACAACTACAACATCCTCCACTCTTTGCTCTACAAGTGCCGTGGCTCCAATGTCAAATAATGTTTTTAATAATTGTACGTTCAATATAAGTAATAAATAAATTTAAATAAAACAAATTACCTATGTACTTTTTATTTTCATTTCATGAACTTTTTTGTAGGTAAATAGAACTTGAAATAACTTGAAATTTAGTAGATTGCTGTCTACCTACTATATATATATATAAATAGAAATGTTATTTAAATTATCCAGGTGGTCTAGCGATAGAGTTCTCGCTCTGCAATCGCAAGGTCCAGGGTTCGATTCCCCTAGGAAACTTTTTTTTTTCTTTTTTTCTTTTTTTCTTTATTTTTCTTTTTTTTTTTCATTATTTTTATTTTTTTTTTTAATAATTTCGTGCTATAGTCTATCTGTATACAACTCGACAACTGAAAATTTCCGAAACTCGACGTATTGCCTAACAAATGTTTCAGGCAATACGTCTCGTATAATCGAAAATTTTCAGTCGTCTAGTTGTATAATGTATGATTATAGGAATAGTCGCATTATGTATATGGTTTGGAATTTGCATGTAGGTATCATAAGAGAAAATAAAGGATCCAACATCAATCAAAACAGCAGCCCGCTGAATCCCTGCTACTGAGATGAATTGGAGAGACGCCAGAATGTTCAATCATAACATTTATAAAAATATCATCCTGTATATCAAGTGTAATTAATTTAATTACATATTATACAAGAAAACAAAACGGGCCGATTCTAGTTCGCAATGTCGAAATAGTTCAGTATTTAATTAATTTGCAAAACCGTGTCAATTTATTTATATGTTATTAAATTTTGTATATTATTAAGAGTTTATATATGTTAAATTATTGTAAAATAATAGTATATTATGCAACGATCATGTAATGATGGTTTTAATAACCATTACATGAGAGTTGCATACGCTATTTTTTCTACACCCGATAAATAATCAAGACCTATAAATATTATATTTATATTGGTATTGAACACAATAACAGTAATTACTCGTATTTCTATAAAAAATTCTACAAAATTGTAATTAATGGTATTACTTCAGGTATTGGTATTTCCCTAGATTTTTGCGGTAAAATATTTTGTACTGTATTTTCTGCTTTCTCCGATATGTGTGGAGGAGTCTTCTATATCGCTAATATCAGACATTTTAATATTATAATTATCGAAGTTTAGCTACCTACGAAAATTTAATACGTTTTGACAACTAAAATAATTACATAGGAACCTAGGACAAACGTCAAACAGCATGCTTGATTGAAAAATTGTAGGTTTCTATTGATTAAAAATCTGTATCGTAATGAAAAATCTGTATCATAATGGGTTTCATTATGAAACGGATTATGGGCATATAAGTGCATTATTATAATACGGGTGTAGAAAAAATGTTTATTAGCACAAAAATCTATGATTATAAATAATATAATGTACGCTTACGTAACATATGGCTTCGCTAGTCAAACTGCCTCCGGTTGGTGAAGAATTTGGTGCGACAAAAGAATAACTTGGTTTAATGGCGACTTGATTCAAGTCGATGCCGAATTTATAAGCGCAAACTTGAGCAACCTATAACACAAAAAGAAGGTCTACATGATTTTAGACGATTCAGTTGGCGTATTTAGAGCCAATCAGTAGGTTTCTGATCCATAAGATTTTTAAGAGATATTACCTTCGTATTGATGCCTTGTCCCATTTCTATACCACCGTGGGATATCGCAACTGAACCGTCACCGTGAAAAATTGAAACGAGAACAGAATAGTTTGCTACAATTTCTAGTACCCACTTCATCGGCACCACTGCTAATCCTTGTTTCATCCATCTATTGGCCTAAAATTCATAAATACCTATTTTTATTTAATACTAGATACTTCTTAGATACTTGTTAAGAACTTGTTAAGAACTTATTAAGAACTTGTTAAGAACTTGTTAAGAACTTGTTAAGAACTTGTTAAGAACTTGTTAAGAACTTGTTAAGAACTTGTTAAGAACTTGTTAAGAACTTGTTAAGAACTTGTTAAGAACTTGTTAAGAACTTGTTAAGAACTTGTTAAGAACTTGTTAAGAACTTGTTAAGAACTTGTTAAGAACTTGTTAAGAACTTGTTAAGAACTTGTTAAGAACTTGTTAAGAACTTGTTAAGAACTTGTTAAGAACTTGTTAAGAACTTGTTAAGAACTTGTTAAGAACTTGTTAAGAACTTGTTAAGAACTTGTTAAGAACTTGTTAAGAACTTGTTAAGAACTTGTTAAGAACTTGTTAAGAACTTGTTAAGAACTTGTTAAGAACTTGTTAAGAACTTGTTAAGAACTTGTTAAGAACTTGTTAAGAACTTGTTAAGAACTTGTTAAGAACTTGTTAAGAACTTGTTAAGAACTTGTTAAGAACTTGTTAAGAACTTGTTAAGAACTTGTTAAGAACTTGTTAAGAACTTGTTATGAACTTGTTAAGAACTTGTTAAGAACTTGTTAAGAACTTGTTAAGAACTTGTTAAGAACTTGTTAAGAACTTGTTAAGAACTTGTTAAGAACTTGTTAAGAATTTGTTAAGAACTTGTTAATAACTTGTTAAGAACTTGTTAAGAACTTGTTAAGAACTTGTTAAGAACTTGTTGAGAACTTGTTAAGAACTTGTTAAGGACTTGTTAAGAACTTGTTAACAACTTGTTAACAACTTGTTAACAACTTGTTAAGAACTTGTTAACAACTTGTCAAGAACTTGTTAAGAATTTGTTAAGAATTTGTTAAGAATTTGTTAAGAATTTGTTAAGAACTTGTTAAGTACTTGTTAGGTAGGTACTTATTAGTTACTCGTTTAAACTTATGTTTTACTTGATTATAAGCAGCAATCTCTTGTTTTCTTTTTTCAATGTTCCCCCAAGTTTTGAGATCGGTCCAGTATTTCGGTATTTGAGGGATGTTGGGGCTAGTATTTCTTAATTTTACTTCTATTGGTTCCAAATTTAAAGAGTAGGCAATGTGTTCCATAATACTTTCTACAGCACCCATGCCTTCCAGTGTTCCTAAAATATTTGACAAAAAATATATCCGTGTTCAACTAGGAATGAAAGTGATCAGGACCGAGGAGAGGGGGGTAGCCGGGAAAAATTCCCAGGGCTCAGCAGAAGTTCACCACAAGAGCACAAGAGAGATTTCACTAAAGAGGAGGAGAAGTTTTTGCTTGAAGACTTTTTTTTAGAAATGTGATATTGAAAGGGCTTATTTTTTTTCTAAAATTGTCGCGGGGCCCGACCTGGAAAATTGTCCCAGGGCCCGACCTGGCTCTCGGCGGCCCTGAAAGTGATACCTTAAAGCATTTCTTTGGAACATTTATGTTTTTATGAGGATCCATCAAGAAAAGTCATGATTGGAGTTGACTGTGAAATTTAAATGTTTTGGGTTGGTACTCTAATCATAGAGCAAGAAGCAAAAATTATCGAATGTTACATCCATAGAGGTGTGAAAGTAAATAGCGAGTGTCAAAGATTCAATTCCAGAGTGCTTGGCTGATTTTCTTGAAGAACATCTTAAATAAGTGTTTGACTATTGTTTTTACAATGTTATGAAAAATGTTGTTAAGTTATTCGGAGAGGCTGATAGGCATGTAATAATTGATCAAAATCCAGAAACATAGATTGCAGTAGTGGGCCAACAAAAAAATTTGTCTTATGACACATGTCAATTCATTCTAAAAAATAAATACACTGTCATAAATACAAGCTGTAATATTTTCATGAGCTACTTCCAGTGGATTACCTAAGAATTATTTCAATGGTTCCAAAATAATCTAAAGGATGAAGATCCTTAACACAGTTTTTTTGTCAGATGAGACTTGGTTTTATCTTTCTGGATATGTTAATTCACCGAATATGAAGTGATGATCAACTGAAAATACCTAATTTTTTGTTGGCGTTTGGGTTGGAATATGGTGGGTCCCATCTTTTTAAAGCAAATTTACTGTTTCACGATATCGCAATGATATGCTCGGCACATTCATAAATAAACTGGATGATGAGGCATTACAAAATGGGTATTTTCAACAAGATAATGTTTTCTGGTTGCAATGAAAATGTCTAGTAACATTATGACTAAAGAACCCAAAAAATTTATATTTCATAGCCAACTCTAAATTTTCGATAGCTCGTTACTATATTTTTTGTGAAGTAAAAGTGACGATGATGATGACAGTTAAAATGAAACAGATAATAAACCTGCCTCAGGCGATGCAGAAGAAGAATCTAGCGATGAGGAAGAGCAATCTGATGATGAAGATGATGATGAAGAAGGTTCTGAATAAATAAGATACACATTGTATGTTGTTAAGTTACAACTATCATTAAATTTTTTTGTCTTATTTTATAATTGACATTATAGTATTAAAAAGCTGAGAAATTTTTCATTTATCCATGTACAAACAAATGTAAACTCACCAGGACTTCTTGTAAAACAATTAGCAGGTGTATCAGTTTTAACGATATATGTACTGAACTCCCAATGGCTAATATCGTACCCACTTTCAAAACCACTCACTAGTAGACTATCAATTGGTTCATTACCACCAATACCAAAATCGGAATACAAATTAGCGTTTAAATACTGTATAACTCCTTTGTCATCAACGTCAGCTTGGTATTTCATATACAAGGGGTATCGTTTGCCGATTATATTCATGTTTTCTTCGAAAGAAAGCGACATGGTGACAGGAAGTTTGAGTTTGAAGGCTGCAAGAGCGGCTGATGATGAAATTAGAGCGTTTCGAAACATTTTTCCTCCAAAACCACCTCCCAGACGACGAACTTTAACGTTTATCCTGAAAAATATAAATTCGATATCTTTACTTGTTTTAAAATGACGGACTGATAAAGTTGAATTATGCTTTTCGAAAAATTTAACATTACAAATGTCACTAAATAATGTCGAGACATCAGCATTGATATAGATAATAATAATAAAAAAGGACCCAATAATGATCCTTGTGGAGCTCCATTTTTATTCGTCTTCTGAGTATATTTTAATACATGTCTATGGGTTAAGATTTTAACATATTGAAGTCTATTAATCAAATAAAAGGAGAACTACTCGTGGGCTATTCCTCGCACTCCATATTTGTTTAATTTAGCTTATGAAATGTCATGTTGAATACAGTGAAAAGCCGACTAAATTCACAAAAGATACTAATCGAGTGTCAATTGAATTTAAAATCGAAAATTTTTGAAAACACAAATAGCACTGAAATTGGCCGATAATTCGACATTATTTCTGGGTTTCCTGTTTTTAAAATAGGATAAATAATTTATTTATAATATTCCATGTGGTCTTGTTTTTATTGTTAAACGAATTTATTTTACTTTTTGTTATTTGAACAAGGGTTTTATGTTGCAATTTTACGTTTTTATAAACTATTTCTAAATTGAAATGTAGAGTGAATCCTAAGTTGATACTTTTTTAACTCTGTATAGAAGTCATAACAATTAACTTTTTTAAATCACTTTTTTAAAAAAATTAAAAAATAAGAAACTTACATTAATTTATTCCAAAATACGATCCTGTATAACTGAATAACTTATCTAAGAAAAATGTTGATTACATTCATGCCATTGTAAGAATCATTCACAAAACAAATTTACGGGGTAAATGTTCAATTTGAACATAATAGGGATATAATTGATTTTTCTACAGTTGTCCACACTTTTCTTTGAATTATCCCTTCTAATCTGCAATAATCCGCGCACTTGTTGGATCTTTTTTGATAACATTTATAAACGCACTTCATTTTCAATTCGCCATAGTAAACGATAAACACACTACGGACCTACTGAATTCAGGCGACTGAATTACAAAAACTGGTACACGTAAATAATTGTGATTCATATTCGTAAAAAAAACGAAAACACTTAAAAATAGACTTATTAAATCTTTTAACTTTTCGTACACACATCCAGAACTAGATTTACATTTTTTAATTCTAAGGTTTAAAAAAGTGTTAAAAAAAATGTTTATTTTAACAATTTCCAGTATACCTTTATCCTGTTAAATCCTTTAAATTAAATTAGCAAACAAAAGTTTTTATTTCTACTGGTTTAAAAAAAGTGGACTGGTAAAATGAAATTATTGTTTTAGAAATATAAAAAAAAATAATTTTATAATTTTTTATGTAATTTTTTATAATTTTTTATAATTTGTTATAATTTGTTACAATTTTTTATAATTTGTTATGTAATTTTTTATAATTTGTTATAATTTGTTATAATTTGTTATAATTTTTTATAATTTTTAATAATTTTTTATAATTTTTTATAATTTTTTATAATTTTTTATAATTTTTTATAATTTTTTATAATTTTTTATAATTTTTTATAATTTTTTATAATTTTTTATAATTTTTTATAATTTTTTATAATTTTTTATAATTTTTTATAATTTGTTATAATTTGTTACAATTTTTTATAATTTGTTATGTAATTTTTTATAATTTTTTATAATTTGTTATAATTTGTTATAATTTTTTATAATTTTTAATAATTTTTTATAATTTTTTATAATTTTTTATAATTTTTTATAATTTTTTATAATTTTTTATAATTTTTTATAATTTTTTATAATTTTTTATAATTTTTTATAATTTTTTATAATTTTTTATAATTTTTTATAATTTTTTATAATTTTTTATAATTTTTTATAATTTTTTATAATTTTTTATAATTTTTTATAATTTTTTATAATTTTTTATAATTTTTTATAATTTTTTATAATTTTTTATAATTTTTTATAATTTTTTATAATTTTTTATAATTTTTTATAATTTTTTATAATTTTTTATAATTTTTTATAATTTTTTATAATTTTTTATAATTTTTTATGATTTTTTATAATTTTTTATAATTTTTTATAATTTTTTATAATTTTTTATAATTTTTTATAATTTTTTATAATTTTTTATAATTTTTTATAATTTTTTATAATTTTTTATAATTTTTTATAATTTTTTATAATTTTTTATAATTTTTTATAATTTTTTATAATTTTTTATAATTTTTTATAATTTTTTATAATTTTTTATAATTTTTTATAATTTTTTATAATTTTTTATAATTTTTTATAATTTTTTATAATTTTTTATAATTTTTTATAATTTTTTATAATTTTTTATAATTTTTTATAATTTTTTATAATTTTTTATAATTTTTTATAATTTTTTATAATTTTTTATAATTTTTTATAATAATTTTTTATAATAATTTTTTATAATTTTTTATAATTTTTTATAATTTTTTATAATTTTTTATAATTTTTTATAATTTTTTATAATTTTTTATAATTTATAATTTTTTATAATTTTTTATTTCATAATTTTTTTATAATTTTTTATAATTCTTTATAATTCTCCATAATTGCATATTATTTTTTATAATCTTTTTTGCTTTAGCATAGCAGAACCCTCCCTTCCCTTCTGATAAATTAAATTAAATAATATACAAATTTTGGAATAAATTACTGACTGATTTGACGGTATCCCCAAAACTGTGGCCGCTGCCAGCTGACTCACATCCATCCATTGTGACGATGGATAGATATCCACACTGTCTTCAGTTGGTACAACCTTACAACATTGCACTTCCATATGGTAGTGGTACTGCAGACCAACGTAGAATTCTCCAGACACGGTCTTCTTAATGTTTGTACCTTAAATAAAATAAAATGTCATCTTCCATTAAAAAAAGACGTATTATTCATATATATTTAAAACCAACTTCGATCCTCACTTTATCAAAAAATATTAAAGATCAAATCTCCTGTCCTAGCTCTTTGCGATAAATTATTTACAAACTATAAGATAAAGATAACAAGCCCTTGAATCACCCATGTTTATAAATCTTATTTATGATAGAATTTAGATTAATATCATTTACTATAATACCTTTACTCTTGGGTATAAGAGTAGTCTGATGAGAAATTCTAAATTTTACATCATCGTTGACGACATCTTTAACATTAAGATAGATTTTATCCTTAGGGTTGCTGTAGGTGACCTTAACTAGGTCAGCAGCGTTCCAAGCTGTAAATTCATCGTTGGCTACGATGATTCCTATAGGTTGGTGGTAGTATTGTACAGTACCGCTGCAGAATAATTCCTCTTGCACTGGAAACAGCCCTACATCTTGAGGCGTAAAGGTATTTTTCCCTGGAATGTCTTTGTGATCGTAAAAGGCTACAACACCTTCCAGTTTCTATAAAATTATACTTTGTGTGAGTAAAATGCATAAAAATACTAAACAAATAAACCTGCTTCTTACCAAAGCTGATGATGTATCAACAGAAAGTATTGTAGAGCCTGCTGGAGCTTTAGCAGCGACAAAGGCTGCAAATACTTCATTTGGTAAAGCTGGCGCGTCTAAAACATATTTAGCCTGACCTAAAATCAAATTATTTCGTTTCACATCATCCCATTTTTCAAAAATATACCATTTTAACTACCTGAAGTTTGAGCCAAGGACTCTAACTTGGGTATAGGCTGCGTAAGCGGCCACTCCTGCTTGATTGTACCGTATTCCTGCGATCCTTTGGATACGGGGCGTTCCAATAAAGCTCCGCCAGTTTTGAACCTGTCTCCAATCTGGCTAAGTGGGCATGTTTTCAGAACAAACTGAAATAGATGTTATAAAAAAGTTACACTGACCATTGTTATGAACAAGATTAGGTGCATTCTGACATAATAAAAAAAAAAACTTGAAGAATAAGGATAAGTATCTAGGTAGTCTGACTGTTTCAAGAGTTTGCTCAGCAAAGGTATCTTAAACACTTACCTTATAGAACAAAGATATAGCCAGATTCCTTCTAAACTCCGGACTTGGATCTGGTAAAATATGATCGGGTATGATTTCTTTATCCAATGATTCAAAAACTTTGGCTAAAGTTACATTGTCGTACAATTTTTGTCCTTTTAGTAGCTTCTCGGTAGCTGAAGCGTGTATAAATGTTGGATTTATACCCCCATAAACGATTCTAGCTGATTTTACCAAATTGTTTTTGATTTGTACCAAAAATCCTGCGTTTACCATTGCGTGGGCATTTTGAGTTCTTGGCATTATCTAGAGCAAAGTATAAATCATCAAAATTATAAATTTTGGAGCAATCGGAGCAGTAGGTACAATACAGTTGGATTATTATAGATCAACACAATTTTGTGTTTTTATGTTGTGACGTTTTTCAATTGAAGTTAGCAGGCGCCTGATATTCTATCCCATATGGCCATAATGATATCTTCTAAATTATACGAATCTACTTACTTTGAATGAAGCAAATTTGTATGAATCATCAAAGGCATTTAAAATAATATTTTTAATCACAGTTTTCTTCATATCTACTTTCAAAAAATCTTTAGGGCTGACAAAAAATTCTTCGTCGTCCACATTTACTAAAAAAAATGAGGGTATTATTAATACGAGTATATAAATGATTTTTATATAATTACCAAGAAGAATTGAAGCATGGAAGGCTTCCAGTAATAGAAAAATGTCAGACTGGAATTCATTATGATGAAATTTCATCATTAAATTTCCTGCTAGGCTGCCGATCTAGAACAGAAGGATAAAGAACAACCATTTTGTTAGTGTTTAACAAATTATTCTTGTTTACACGCAAAAAACATATATATTTCACACTACTTGAAACTATTTTTTGCCATAGAAACAGATACGACCAACATTTTTTTTTATTGTAAGAGAAAATATTTCAAATCACACAAAGAAAAAACTGTATACCTACATTTCTAACTTGGACAGTAGCTACCAAATCCAAATGTTCGGCTACAGTTTTCAAATAGGAAAAATTCGTTTTTGAAGAATATTCGTTACACATCTCCATTAACTTGGATATGGTAATATTACCTCCAACTGTGAATGAGGTATCGTTTATTGAGTGGGAGATAAGTTCAGTAACGTCACGTACATCTATGTAGATGCTAGGAGGTTGGAGATTTTTAAAAACACCTAAAAAAGTCCGTTGTAGTTTTTTGTTTTAAGTAAAATATTTTAAATCTAATTTACCTCTAGCTGTATTTCCACAAACCAGCCTATAATCATTGGATGTAGTCCTTAAAAGTTCTAATAAGTCCTTTAAGCTATAGACTTTCATCCATTGCGCATCTCGAAATGTCAAAACAAAATTTTCCTTCCTTTTTTTACATTCATTGTTACAAATTTGTCCAGATTTGTTTGGACAGAGCTTTATGTCTTCAATATCAGTGATGGGTTTATCTATAAGAATAATATTTTACATAATTTCTTCTAATATACCTACATACAGTGATACAATCTTACCAGAATCACTAGCCAGCTGTTTGAACCCGTAAAGAATTGGTCTGTAACCTGTACATCTACAAATGTTGCCACCAAAACTGTTCTCTATTTGTTTTTGGGTTATTTTGCCAGACTCATTCAGAGCAAACATGTTCATGACCATTCCTGGTGAACAAAAGCCGCATTGGGTACCATAATTGTCGCTCAGGAGTTTTTGAATTTTATTATAGCCTATAAGAGAGTCGCCGATGCCCTCTATCGTATGTATTTTCCAACCGTGGCAAGATATTATGGAAACTAGGCACTGAAAGAGAAGCAAGTTTGTAAAATGTCAATTCAGTAAGAGAAGAAATTCTAGGTCTACAACAATTTAATTTAATGTACAGGAATCGCAACCTAATTTGTCTGAAGAGGGGATGCGCATTAATCTCGAATTTCAATTGTCAACGCCTACTGTAACTGTTAAAGAGAGATGCAAACAACAGCCGTGTTGTCGGGAGTGATCAGTAGATAATATTTTCTTGAATTTGTGTTTTTGTAGCGTGCAGATTTTGAGAAAAACAATTGAGGGAATTTTTAAATCAAAATGAAGTTTTACCTTACCAACAGTCAGGTTTTAGACCTCTACATAGTTGCGAAACAGCCCTGTTAGCTATTACGGATGATATTTTAAGAGCCACTTATGAAAATATGATTACCTTACTTATACTTTTGGGTTACTCAAAAGCCTTTGACACATTGAATCATGATATGTTAATAGCTATTTTACATTATGTTGGACTAGACGACCTTTCCTTAGAATTCTTCAGAAGCTATGTAACTAATCGTTCCCAATGTGTTCAAATACAGGAAAATGTATCTATGCCTCTTAAGTTACCATCTGGAATAGCACAACCGAAGCACACTGTAGGGTGATGGGTGACATTGCACTTCCTCTTTTATTCTTACGTTTCCTATAGTAGCCGCCAGCTACTGCCTGCTGTAGGGTAACATTGCTCTCTCCTCTCTGATTATTCGTCCCGAATAACTTGATTGTTGGGACCTGGTTGGAGCCAACGGGGATAATCTGTACCACGATAAGGCGCTAACTATTCAATGTAAACTATCTTGGGTTTACTTCCCGCTGACAACTGAAAACGGTAGATCAGGTCATTGATTTTCTTGAGGACGATGTAGGGGCCATCCCAGTTCCGTTGAAGTTTCTAACAAAGTCCTTTTCAGCTGGTTCACTCCTCTCAAAATATGCCCCTGTGGCATGTATGTCGATTCTAGCTTTTGCTTTACAGCTGTTACCATTCAAACGTTCCAGAGCGACATTTTTAAATCTTTCTCTTAAGTTCTGGATGTACACGTTAGGTATACGGCCATCTTCTTCACCGGGAGGCTGTCATCCAAAAAGAAGATCATGGGCAATCTTTATCTCCCTTCCAGTAATCATCATAAATGGAGTATAACTGGTCGATTCATGTTCAGAACTTTGGTGGGTTAGTAAAAATAGAGGAATTAAAGTGTCCCAGTTCTTTTGGTTTTTAGAGACGAAAATTAAAAGATACTGGCATATGGATCTATGGTGTCTTTCTACTATTCGGTCAGACTGTGGGCGGAGAGAGGGCCGTAGAGCATGTTTTCCTGATGCCTAACAATTTCATGAATTCTTGCCATAATTCGGATTCACAATTTCGTCCTGGCTGACAATTCCAGTGGGACTCCATGTTTCGCTATGACGTTCGTCATAAATGCTTTCGCTACTGTAGTCGCTTCCTGATTAGGAACTATTTCGGGTCACTTTAAAATATAGTCCATAACAACCATCAAGTATTTGTTTCCCCTCTCTGTTAAGAAAAGTGGTCCGAGGATATATATGTCGATTCGTTCAAAGGGCTCTACAGAAAGGTACTGTGTCATTTTAACTCGGCTTTTTTTTAGGCCCATTTCGACCATTGCATAAATCACATTTCTTACACCTATCTTCTACATCCCGTCGGAAATGTACCCAACAAAATCTTTTCCGAACTCGTGCTTGTATCCTTTCAATACCAAAATGTCCTCCTGAACGGTACTATGAAGGTCCTTTATGTGATTTAGGCAGTTATCATTGGTGGACTACATGTATTCCATCGGAGCTCTCCCACCTCCGGTGCAATAGGACATCGTGAAGACATAGAGAATCACTACTGATTTATTCAGGGTTAGTACTAGAATATCACGAAGCTTTGGCCGAAGTATCCATCAACAATGTGGTCACCTTAAGATTGATCAAAGGTCACGCCACATCGAAAGGTAACCTTCTTGCTGATTCACTACCCAAGAAAGCAGCCAACCAAATACTTTTTGGACCTGGCCCTTCTATTGGCCTGACAAATCGGTAGTGACAGACCTAATTAAAGAACATTTCCTTGTGAAATTCAAGGAAAGATACGATAAAACAAGAAACTGTAGAGTTACCAGGGAGCTCTTAAGTTATCCTGACAACACTGCAGCCAACAAATACTTGTCTATAACTAGACAGAATCTGCGCCTAGTTACAGACATTCTGACTGGTCATTGCCAAGTACGAAAGCATCTCCATATCATGGGGCTGTCAGAATCCGCACCTAGTCACAGGCATTCTGACTGGTCATTGCCAAGTACGGAAGCATCTCCATATCATGGGGCTGTCAGAATCCGCACTCTGCAGAGGGTGCGAACAAGAAGATGAGACCATCGAGCATATCCTTTACGATTGCTCGACGCTTTCATTTATTAGTAGATTTGTGTTCGGCGAGTATCGGCTAACACCGGCCGATATAAGGGAAGCACCTCTTGGCGACGTTGTCACCTACATTAAATCTGTAGGCTAGCTCACGAACTAGGAGGTGCCTATCATCTCAGGAGGATGCACAATGGGCCTAATGAGGCCTAAGTGCCGTGGGGGTAACCCACCCTCCTCCACACGTTACAGATACAGATACTACTGAGTACAGTATCCTTAAATAGTTCCACTATATCTGGCCATCTCTTGCCAAGAAGGTTTGACTCCATTTTTGAGACATTTTCGCACAACCTTCGAGTCATTGTCTTTCTTTTGAGTCGTTTTCAGGCTTTTTTACGCGAGAAGATCTAGATATGATTTTTGCTGCTTCATATTCCTGGGCTGCAATCAGTTTCTCCCTCAACGTCTTATGGTGTTTATTTAAGAATAAGAATAAACAATTTATAATACAAAATCAAATAAATTTACAATGAGAAATTATTCTTAAAATAGATTAAAACTACATATAATTAACAATACCTATAAACATTTGATTATTAAAAGGACATAAATATATAAGACTAGGTATTTATAACAAATTTTCTGATCGCTTTAAAAAATGTTTTTATGTTTTTTATTTGTCTGATATTTTCACTTAAAGAGTTGTATACTTTTGGCCCAATTGAAGAAATGAATCTTTTATTTCCATCATATTTAAAGAATGGTACATTTAGCATTCTTCTCTTTTGTTTTCGGGTCATATAAGAGTGGTTTACAAAATTTTTATTTTTCAGTTTGAAATAGAACATACAGCTAGAGTGAAAGTATAGTGATCTTACGTTTGGAGTGGATTCGTTGTATAAGAGGGTTGTTGAAAACAAACGACTTTTATGATTTATTATCTTTAAGGTATAATTTTGAATGATACTTAAAGGATGTGTAGGGCATTGTCATGTAAACCACCCCATACAATTATGCCATATCTAATTAAGGATTCAATGAGAGCAATATATACCAAGTGTAATAACTTTTTATTTAGAATGTTACGAATTAAATAAAATTTATATATGTTTCCTTATTTTGTTTGTTAGGTACTGAACATGATCAGTCCATTTAAGATTTTTATCAACTATTATTCCCAAATATTTTGCATTTGCCACTTCTTTGATGATGAATTTGGATTCTTAAATAAAAATCTGTTTGAAGTTAGGCCTGTTAGCATCTGTGAGTGAGAATGCCATGTATACTGTTTTCGATATATTTAAAGATAGTTTATTATAATCCAACCAGTCTTTCATAATTCTTACCCCTTTAACCACTTTTGATTTTACAGCCTCCCAGGTTTTACCTTCAAACATTAATACCGTGTCACCTGCATAGGATATTGCCAGGATACTATTACTCGAGGAGTTAAGCCCACTTGACGATCCAATTTCGACCACGTTTGCGCATGACGTCACCCGATGACAACAATCTCGTGGGCATGGAAAAGCATTACGCTAGATCGGTTTTAATCAATATTTTATGTTTATTTATTATAATATTGATATATTATTTTTATAATATTGATATACTATTAAATTAAATATTTTTCTTAAAATGTCCCAAAACGTGTAAAAAAGTATTATGAGCAAAAAAGAAAATGTCTGTCTATCGGTATTCACCATAACTTTTAAAGGAATTGCGCTATAGATAAGTATTATTCCATTAGGGGTCGGATTGGAATATTTTTAAGTAAAATTGGTAAAGGGGAAGGGGGTAAAATGTCGGGGAAAATGGTAAAAAATTGCAATTTTTCTTAAAAAATCGAGTGATATGTCGTTTTATAGTTTTTTGGCTATGGACATTTTGATTTTATAATCCGTTTAATATTTTAATAGATAATTAGAAAAAGAGTAAAAAGGGGAGGGGTAAAAATTTAAAATATTTAAAAAATCGAGTTGTCTTGTACTATTTTAATTTTGAAATTCGTTTAGTGATTTAATAAAAAATTACAGGTAGGGGTAAAAAGGGTAGGGAGTAAAAATTCTACATAAATATTTCAAAAAAAATTCGAGTTAATTTTACGGATGAATGTAAAAAAGGAGGAGTAAAAATTGAAAATGTTTGGATAAACAAGTAATAAATCGTCTTAAAAGTTAAACAGCAACATAAAAGTTTTACGCACGTTTACTTCTAAAACAACAAACCAAAGAAACAAAATTAAATAATCAGTAATACACGCAAAACCGCTTTGCGCCATATAGAACTGGCTATTTCAAACTGAATGTTGTTTTTAATATATATAACTACACCATCACATTAGTTATTCACACTTTCTTTAAATATATTGCTAAAACCAGGTATAATTAAATTATCAAGTTCAATAACATTACGTGTTTCTCCTAATATTATTATATCCAAGTCCTTTAAACCAAAAGTTTCTGAAAATACTAAAAGAGGGGTGTAGCCAAAGAGCTTACTGCATTTCCACATCTTGTAGTCCATCAATTAATGCTTGAATACCGATTGGTTATAGGAAATCTTTGGGCGCACGCACGTTATTATTGCAAATAAATACTTACAGAATTCACTGAAAAAATATGCTTCTTCCCATCAACGATTTCCTCAACAGCCACCGTACATACCCCGCAACCCCCTTCACCACACATCCTTTTAGTTCCTGTCAAATGGGATTTCGTCCTTAGGTATGTATTAAGGGTGGTTTCAGGACCTATGTCGTCCACATTTACTAAAATACCAAAATAATTTTGATTTAATTTAATTATTTATCTCTGATATTTAAACACATGAGACATGAAATAACTTTGCTGATTTAAACCAATAACAGTTAAAATCGATCGGTGTATGACAATATTCAACCGACAACACTCTGGCTCAGAGAGCTTTCATTAATTGTTGAATTTTTATATGGGAACATGCACCCTTAAATGGCTTAATAACCGAGATACAGGGTGTTAAAATTTAAAATTAAAATTAAGAAGCGTTTAAATATTTTTTTCAAATTTGATGGCCAATATGCTCTGTAAAAAAGTAATACTTTGATATGAACTAATTTTTGAAAAATTTCACCAGTAGCGCGTTGTGAGGATTAATGTGAACTTATCCGACTGATTTTTACGCCACTAGAACATTAATTTTTTTTTAATTTTTTGTTAATTATCTGTATATTTTTAGTTAAAATAGTAAAAATTTCTTATATGGAGCTAAAATGAACGGTGATGTAGAAAGAGGCCAAACAAAAGTTAGCAAGTTCTTAGACAATTTACAAATTATGATTTTTAGTGTAATTTTTACGTATGCGTTTTGCTAAACAAATAAGTATTTGCTTTAATCTATACTATTAACTCGATTTCAAATAATGTATAAGTGTAAATAGTTGAAAAAGAAATACAACATGCTATTTATTTGCTTAATATCTGAGACCAAATGGTGCAATTTAATAAAAATAATCACAATAACGCAAAAGCCATCAAAATTCAAACAAATGTAATACAACAATAACAAAATTCATAAAATTACAATAGCGGTATAAAATATTTTTACGCCACTGCCAGTGTTTGGAACAGAACAAACTAGCTGGACATAAGTCATGTGTGAACTTCAAAGAAATGATTATTTAAATTAATAAACAGCATTTTGATAGTTCCGAATATGGCTAATTTGTTTCACAGTTTTTAACTAATACGGTGGATAATCAGAATTTTTTATATAAAAAATAAGTGCCTTATGTTATTTCTTATTTTACTTTTCTTACGAGACTACAAAACGTTGATTTTAACTACTGTACCATACAGCGTGGTCCACCGGTAACGCCTCGGTCTGTATATCCAAAACTAAGCTTTTTTAAAAAATCGGTTCTTACGGTGAGATGTATATCAGAAAAGGCAACAATTTAAAAATAATTTCAATAATACAGGGTGCTCCAGGAAATTGGAATATATCAAGGTTAGGTTTTTTAATCGGGACACCCTATATTTTATTGCATTTTTGAAATCTACAAAGAAAATTAGTGTAACTTTGTTAAGGGGTTGTTATACCTAGAGTCTATCATTTTTGATATTTTCGAGGATTTTCAAAATTTTGGGGTGTTACATTTCTTAATATTTCAAAGCGATTTTTTTAAGGTACATTAAGCGTCTTCTGGGCTGTAACCTCAAATACTTACTGATCAATAATATCGTATAGGATGTTTATAAAATAGATATTTATTTTACGTAGATTTAAACACCAAAAACTTCGTTATTTTACATAGAACACCCAGTATATTTTAACATTATTAGAAATATCTTTCGAAACCCTTTCAAACAATATACATAGGTATTACCTATACTTCTATGTATGTTGTTGTTTTAGAGAATAGTCTAGTTCTTATAATTTATGTAAATAATTCATTAAATTTAGTTAATCAAGGTGTCTGGGCATTGATTGTCAATTTATGTCATTTTAATTTAAACTCTTTCCAATAGGTATTATTTTGTGTTTTGTGCAATGTTATTATTAAAATGAAGCAATATTCTATGCAAGAAATGGTGAATATGATTCTCACCATAGGTGAGTGTTATGAAAACTATTTTTTAGCAACACGGGTTTATGCCCAAAAGTATCCAGACAGAAATCATCCGGATAAGAGAACTTTTGAAAGAGTTTTAGAACGTTTTCGAATGTTGCATATTCAAAACAAACTGTGAGTAAACCCGTAGTTGATAATGAAGACAACGAATTTCTAGTATTAGGTTCAGTAACGGAGAATCCTCACATTAGCATCAGGGAAATTTCGAGGCAAATGGATATACCTAGAACCAGTGTAATGAGAATTCTCAAGAAACACCGATTCCACCCTTACCATATCCAATTTCATCAACATTTATATGGTACTGATTTTCAACGACGCATAGATTTTAGTTTATGGGCGCTAGAACAGGTAGGAGAAAATAGATACTTTTTCGATTTTGTCTTATTTACAGACAAATCCACTTTCCATAACAATGGCTTAGTAAATCGCAATAATTTCCATTACTATGATACAGAAAATCGGCACCTATTTAGAACTATTGACCGACAAAACAGATGGAGCATAAATGTTTATGGGGGGATTATTGGAGAGAAAGTTATAGGCCCATATTTTTTTAATAGTCATCTTAATGGAAATAATTTTTTGAGGTTCCTTCATTCAGATTTTTGGCTGCTTCTCGAAGATATACCATTGAACGTACGGCAACAAATGTGGCTACAATTAGATGGTGCTCCTTCTCATTTTGCGCGGGACGTGAGAAATTACTTAGACCGGAAATTTCCTAATAAATGGATAGGAAGAGGAAGCCCATGCCATTGGCCACCTAGATCACCCTGTTTAACACCCCCAGACTTTTTTTATGGGGTTACATAAAAATTCTTGTATACAGTACCCCAGCAACCACGTCAGGAGATATGAAGGAACGAATTAAGAATGCATTTGCAACTATTACGCCGGATATGCTAAAAAGAGTAAGAAATTCGTTTGAACGAAGGATCACAATGTGTATTCAAGAAGACGGTCATCATTTTGAACATCTATTAAATTAATTTATTATCTTGTATTATTTTGTAATTCGTGTTTCAAAAAAAAAAAAAAATGTAACAATGTTAGTAAAACTATCACAGATAGGTATAGGGAATACCTACATCGTTTGAAAGGGTTTCGAAAGATACTTCAAATAACGTTAAAATATATTTGGTGTTCTATTTAAAATAACGAAGTTTTTAGTGTTTAAATCTACGTATAATAAATATGTATTTCGTAAACACCCTATATAATATTTTTGATCAGTAAGTATTTGAGGTTACAGCCCAGAAGACGCTTAATGTACCTTAAAATCATCAATTTGAAATATTAAGAAATGTAGGATATATTTGCATTTTTTAAACACCCGAAAATTTTGAAAATCCTCGAATATATCAAAAATGATAGACTCTAGGTATAACAACCCCTTAACAAAGTTACACTAATTTTCTTTATAGATTTCAAAAATTCAATAAAATATAGGGTGCCCCGATTAAAAAACCTAACTTTGATATATTTCAATTTCCTGGAGCACCCTGTATTATTAAAATTATTTTTAAATTGTTGCCTTTTCTAATATACATCTCACCGTGAAAACCGATTTTTTAAGAAAAATTTAGTTTTGGATATACAGACCGAGGCGTTACCGGTGGACCACCCTGTATATCAGTGATGAATTTGGAATATAAAGGTGAGTGCTTTTTATCTTTTATAAGAACTGGTACCTTATATTGCACGTTAATTTAGATAAAATGCCGAAATCTTAAACTTTCAATTTTTGTTGTGATTATTTGTATGTATAAGTCTAAAAGTTCTATGCCACCATCTGCCCCCGGTTTAAAATTTTTATATATCATAACTGTAACTCTATAATTTCTAAATATAACAGTTCCTGTCAGCACACTTTTGTACAACAACTAAAAAAAAAACACTTGGAGATTAAGTCGGCACCATGTGGGAAACTTTTTTTATTGTTAGTTTTATGAAAAAAAATTATTCCTTATAAAAATTTCTGCATGGTCTAAAACCTAAAATACAACTATCAGTTATTACAATTTTTGAGCCGCAGATGAGGTTCGACAAAAAATACAAATTTTGCTAAAGAAGTACCTTTATTTTTGATAAACCTCATATACTACTGACAAAATTGTAAATTGTATATATTTGTATCGTAGATTTTAGATCATGAACTGTCTACGTAAGTTAGCCGCATACGGAAAACTTTTTTATTATTTATTTTAGGGAAAAAAGTTATTCCTTATAAAAAGTTCTTCATGACCTAAAAACCAAAATTCAACTATCTAATACCAAACTTTATTAGTCGTATACGAAGTTTGTCAAAATTTTGCAAAATTTATATTTTTTAAAAAATTTCTTCGCAAAATTAATAATAACAAGCCTTAATTAGAATTTTATTGTACAAAATGTTCATAACATGAGTAGATACAATGCTTAAGCTACCATTTCGCAAGCCGAGACAGAGACCGACTTCAAAACGCGCCGCGACACTAAACGGTCGCTTCGCGTCTGAAACCATGTAATTATAAGAAAGACATTTCGGTAGAGGCGACAGACGACATGAGATTTGCCACTTCACTGGTGTCTCGGTCTCCTGTCGCGTGTCGCGCGTTCACAAATGGTACCTTTGCAGTCAGAAATTTCAAATAAATACTTTTGTCCATCTGGCTTGTATTGTTCGAAATCCTGTGCACTGGAACAAATATTTGTTTTTCTACGATCACTATCCAAAGTGGGCCTTTGCGTTTCGAAATACAACCACAAAGTTGGCGTTTCCCTCGAACCGACATTAAGTGATAGTTTTGTCGCACGGCGAGCGGAAAATTTAACAGCTTTGTTGCTCGCCTAATTTAAATTAGTTATAATATAATATTTCTTTTTATTAAATAATTTTCAAGTTAATTGTACGTAGTTTGGTGTTTTATTGTTTTATTATCCAAGTTAACATTGACTTTGAATATCAACTCCGTTTTTCATGTTTAACTTAGATATAGGCAACACATTATACACTACTCAGTTTTTATATCTATTTCTTAAAATAATGCAAAAATCTTATGTTTATTTTGAGCGAAAAGTTCCTTGTCGCTTTCGACAGATTGCCAACTTTCTGTATCAAGTGACAAAGTATTAATTTTCGCTCTTAATATTCAAATAGCTATTTTCTATTTTTT